TGACAGGGAGCACGCCTCAGAGGCTAACGCTATCCTCCAAGCGAACAAGAAATTGAACGTCATTTTCTTTTGACACAAGCAAAAAAACATTACGACCTTATTCACTCTCCCACAAAAGAATAGGGAAATACCCAGTGCGATTGGCCTCTGCAGCTTGCAAAGGTATTCGATTTCACAATGTTTTAAGAAGAAAAATGTGTGGTCAGAATTTGCCTGAATGCTCCCTTGGGTTAGACTTTGGCAGAGTTTTGGTCTGTGGACTAGCAAACACCTTCCAGCTTGTGATACTTTAGCATACTGAGGAAGTGACAAATACAGATGTCACCTTGTCCACCCTGATTTATTGATATGACCAGCATCCGATTTTGAATTTATGACTTCGGAAATCACTAGCATTAGCGCTGGTTGTAAACTTGTATTTTTGTCAATGGGAGACAAGCCATTTCAAGGGGACAGTTACAGATGTGTGTGGGTTAATTTGAATGAATGAATGAATGAATGAATGAGTTTCAGTGGGTATTATGGAAGGTTTAAAGAAAAGCTTGTTACAAACTCTCATGTCCACACAGTCCCCATTTAAAGGACACATCATTTGCAAAACCATGTTACAACATTATTCTCTCATCAGAAAACCTGGAGTTGTTTTAGATCGATCCAGAAATTTTGGCACAAACATGTAACTCCTCCACTTCTATCTAAAAGCTCCTGTCCAAGCCCAGAAACCCTAGACGTCTGCTCATTGTGTATTGTGTCACCATGGAGGCCGACATATTAGCAGAAGTGACACTTTTCAGGCACCTCTGGTCCTCCAGGTCTTGCGCAGTAGGTGCACTGTTAGTGGTACTTCCACGGGCCGAGGTGAACACGTGAGCGTTCTGACCAATCAATGCTTACTGTAGAGGCTAGCTTAAGGTTGCATTTTGTAGGAACTTTTAAAACTTTTAAGATAAGATAAGATAAGATATACTTTATTGATCTCACACTGGAGAAATGTACATGTCACATTTGGCATAGATAGAATCACTCAGATTGTGCAAAAGACAGAAGTGTGCAAACATGTTAAAGGTTAAATATATAGTCTGTGCAGGATATAATTATGTACAATAAAGTGCCAATAGAAGAAAGAGTGGCAATAGCAGTGCAGGTTTTTTCAGTCCTAGTGAATGCATTGGTTTTCTATAAATCCACAATTTTGTACACTTCTGTTGTTCATTTGTACTCAATTATGGAGACCTTACCACCATCATTCAAATGTTGTGATGATTGTAGATATAATGCACTTGTAGTGATATCATAACACTTTGAAGCAACTATGGTTAAAGTTAAAACTCTTCATTCTCACAAGCCAGTACTTTTCCCTTGTTTTGACTTTTGAAAGCCAAGCTACATGGCACCGGGGCAGCTGCTGACTGGAGGACTACATTCCTCCATGCTGTATAATACACTTGCATTCTGTCATGTTCTTGTTCATGCTCTACCATAAACAATAAAACATGTCTTCTGTCTGAATTAAAGACACGATCCCAGACTTTGTCATCTTCTTCACACTATACATTGAAGTATGTTTCCATAATTTTTGAAGTTCTATCCAAATCACAGTGATATTTCTCTCATATGGGCCCCCTTAGCTTCACAGATATAAACTCCATCACCTCTGTCTTTGGCTTGTCTAATGCACTGGACATCATCTTGGCTCAGTGCAGACTCCTCCAGGGTCAGACAGATCCCCTGTGGACCCTCCTCTAGACTTGACCAAAGCCCTGCTCTTTCCCAGCCATGACGATCTGTTTGTCTAAGTTCAGAGCAACAACAGTATGTGGGGAGAAAGCCGTTGTTAAACTGAAACAAAGCAGCAGGAGCATTTGTGGCTTTATCAGACACAAACATGCCGGCCTCCGTCAACACACGCTTCATTTATACGGCCATACTGCATCTACAGCTGAATCATTGGAAAACATCGCTTCACATGCAACAATATTCCAAACATGAACAATTTACTCCAGTCAGTCATTTAGTTTCATTTTGATTGTCTCCTCAGCAATATTGCTTTGCCTTGATCGTTAACAGTAGAAAAACAAAGCAGGGATACATAACATTCAAAATAGAAGTATGTAATAACGATTTACTTATTTGTACATTTCTTTATATAAGAATGACGTAGGATTTATAATATTTTTTTTCCCTCATCATACTCCTGTTCTTCCTTTCATGGAATGTATTACTGTTGTATTTGCTGCATTATTGTGATGTTTTGTTGCATTGCCATGAAAAAAGAGAACAAAATAATAATCATAATAAAATCCCTGTAACTACTGTACTTCCTCACTTTCAACTCAGTTTTTTTCTATCAAAGAGGACTGTGAGCTGCCTGCTCTGGGGGTTCTTTATCAATCCAGACACTTAAAATAATCAGTAACTCTTCTGGCCATCCTGGAAAAGCCATGTTCCAACTTCTTCCTTCTGGCAGAGGTTATCATTCTCTGGGATTCAGGACATTCCAATCTGCTATATGCTAAAATCTTCTTTCCAGCATTTTACTTTGATAAGATAAGATCAACGTTATTGACCGGACAAGACTTTATTAATTTGACAAGACTTTTTTGAGTGGGACAAACAACATGGTTCATGTATTCATTTATTCACCTGTATTCTGTTTCTCTTTATCTTTATGGCTAAATGCATGAAAACATTGTGGGTGTGCCTTTCTGCAAATTGTTTGGTGGTGGACTCTGAACCAGAAGAAATAGTGAGTCTTTGATCATTGGATTTCTTTTACCAACGCATACAAGCAAGCAATAAAATGCAACAATCCAAAACTGAAAGTTCTATATCTCCATTATCTTTGTGGTAAATATCAGACATTATCAACAAGAGATTTTCCCCCAAAAGTGTTGCATATTATTCCTGAGAAATCTTGTTTTTCCCGTTTATATCTTCAGTAATATGACTCTGCTGTATGCCTATTTTCTTACATCACTGTTTTTCCCATTTTTCACTCTTTTTTTTACATTTGTATTGGACACTACAGCTCCCCACCCTTGTTTTTCAGAACCATGACATCACCCATGTTCTACAAATGACTGCATATTATAAATGTTCTTGTAACTATTGGCTTTTGCTCATTGCTTAAAGAGGCTATACATTTGAGTTTGCAGCAAGTACATTTGTTAAAAAGTGTAATAAATCTGAGAAGATTCCTCTCACAAAAGCCTTACCTCAGCCCTATTCTTAGCTAATGGAACATGAGCTCACTGCGCTCATAAAGGAGGCCAGTGCTAATTAGACAATCCCACGTTACATTACACATCTAGGTACATTTTATTCTACGAAGCAGAAGAATAAAGGTAAAACAATATCTCTTGCATGTAGAAAATAGAATGAGTTGAGATACAGACTTTCTTTTTCTGGAATAGTGATGAAACTTTTGGATTTAATACAAAGTTAACTTTTTATGTAATGTATTGAACTCACTAGACTAATGTGTTGCATCTTTGACTATGCATCACATACTATTTAGCACAGAAATGTCCAACCTTTTTCTACAAAATGCTATTTTTATGCAAACACAAATGACAGAACTAAAAGCACTTTTTGTGTAAATGTATTTACAATAACATGGTATAAGGCTGTGGTCACATGGACAGCATACTTCGCGATTAGATCCGGGCTTTAGGCGCTATGTGACCGCTGCAACTGGCACGGTCACATAGGTTTTTTACAAATAAACTAGGCCAAGTGGCCCAGATCATCGCCACAAGGGTGTGAAGCATGGCCCGCGGTCACAAGGGCTTGTTCGTTTTAACCGTACCAGAGCAACTGTGCTGTAGTACAACGCGCGGTCCAGCTGGCGGTGCGAATACTAACTTCAGCGACTACCTCATTGTCAAGAGTTAAGTTTCCGTTTTTCTTCCTGTTTACATTCCGCTACTGTAGCGCTAACAGCTCGAGCATGGAATGCGTTCATGGAATGCGAATGGGTAACGCATGTATGTGTGTGTGTGTGCGCACGCCGTGGACACGGGACTGGACTGCACCTCTTTAGTAACGAGCGTAAGAGCGCTGAATGAATGAGAATGAAAGAATGAAAAGTGAGGCGTACAAGCAGAGTGACCGGAGACAGGCAGGATAAAAGTGTGTGTTGGTGTGTTCTGGCGATTAAATAAAGACTGATTCTTGAATGTCTGATGTGTTATTGCAATAGCACCACACTGTGAGAGCGAGGGTAGGACAGAGGGAGTCATTCTCGTAGGAAACGCTTTTCTTTGGCTCTGGAGCGACACACCCCCCTGCGCCCCTCGAACACGGTCCGGGGGCTTATATGAAAGGTTTAACACAAGCGGAGAATAAAAAAGTGCAGAGAGAGACATGTGTGAAAATGCCCGTCACAACAGAAGACGTAATGTGACGCACAATATCAAGTCCCCACCACACCTCATCCCCCACCCCCCACCACCCGCCACACTGACCCCCCTCATCTGGGCTTTGGAAGCGTGCTCAGGCCCACTTGCAGCAACCGTGCCCAAGCACAGTTAAGAGCGTGAACTTGAATGGGGAAATGGTCAGCTACAGGTTGGAGTATCCGATTTTAGTGAAATGGAACAATACAATTTAAAATATTGACACTTTCGTCAATTATCTATTCAACTGATTCTTGAACATCAGTTTTAGGGTCTGAATGTATACAGATTATTACGATAATCCCACAATAAGTAAATAATCAGACACACCAAACAACATAACCATACTCTCTGTATACGCATATTTTTCCTGTACATGTTGTATGTTTTTCGGTTTTCTCAAAACCTTGACCAAAGCTCTCTAAACTCAACCTCTCAAGAGCACAACACTGAGCGCATTCTCACTCTTTTGAACACATTTCTCATAAAAGGGATTAAGATTCAAATGTTACAATATTGTGTGCCATGTTTTTGCAAAATAGATCAAGACGTAGAAGAAGTATATACTCTTCATCTATAACATTTCTGTTTTTCTTTTCTCAGGCCCTCGGAGACTCAGACTTCCAGTCCGTTCTGCGTCAGCTGCTGCCTCTGATGAAGCCCCTGGAGGATGTGGGCGACTCGCGTTCTGATCGGAGTCCAGATGAGTGCGGCCCGGACGAGCTGATTTTGCTGCTGATTTACCTGTACTCTCTGTCGGACCAGGCCCCTCCCATTGACCACCAAGAGGCCCTGGAGAAGGCCCTGGAGAAGCTGGAGAGAGAGCTGATTGGAGCAATGACACTGGTCCTCACCAAGGAGGTGGAGCTTAGTCCTCTTGTGCAGAAACTTACAGGTGAGTGCGATTGGGAATTGTACAAGAAAAGGGATTTTAGGGATCTTGTAATGATATATTGAAAATACAGGGTTGGAATTAGATTTTGCAAACAGACATTTTGATGTCTGTTCCACAGTGCATATTGTGAACAACTCCAGTTTTGATGTGAGAAAAGAGTGAAAAATAAGCAGAATTTTTAAATTAAAAAATACTGGATATTTTGCCATCAATTGGTAATTGTAAATCCACATATTGGGATTTCATTTTGATTACATTATATTTGCAATCCTTTAAAATGTGCTGTAATTTCCAGACAATAAGCAGCTACTTTTTTCTAGTTCTTTGAGCCCTGCTTATATAGCAAGGCAAGGCAAGGCAAGTTTATTTGTGTAGCACAATTCCTACACTAGGCAACTCAAAGTGCTGAACAAGATAGATAAATCTGTGATAAATAATCACAGAACATTAAAAGTAAAGATGAAAATATAAAATCCCTCACTTGTATGCACAGCTAAACAGCACTGTTTTTAACCTGGTTTTAAACATTGTCAGAGAGGAGGCCTGTCTCACATCTTCAGGAAGATTGTTCCAGATTTTAGCAGCATGAATCTGAAACACCTCTGCACCTTCTCCATCAACTCCCACTGATGACTGCTGTCGTTGTGTCCTTGGGCTTAACCCCACTTTGCCCAAAAAGCCCCCACTGAAAGATCAAGGCTATGCTCACACTCAGAGAGCAGCCGTCCTCCTGTGGACTCACCACCTGCAGAGGGTCAGTGAGGGACTGGTGCTATGAGACTTGGGTGGCATCTCTGATTGCCACCCCCCTGACCCAGAAATGGATTAAAGGGTAGAAAATGGATGGATGGATGGATGAATCTGAAAAGCAGCCTCCCCATGTTTAGTCCTGACTCTGGGGACTAACATGTCACTAATATATTTTGGTGCAAGGCCATGGAGAGACTTGTACACAAGCAGAGCTGTTTTAAAGTCTATTCTCTGAGCCACAGGAAGCCAGTGCAGAGAGCTGAGCACTGGACTAATGTGGTCGTACTTCCTGGTTCTAGTCAGGACTCGAGCTGCTGCATTTTGAATGTACTGCAGCTGTTTTACAGCCTGTTTGGACAGACCTGTGAGCAGGCCATTGCAGTAGTCTAACCTACTGGAGACAAATGCATGGATAAGAATCTCCAGGTCTGCTTTAGACACTATGTTTTTGATCCTGGCAATGTTTTTTAGGTGGTAAAAAGCTGCTGATGTTACTGATTTGATGTGGCTATTAAAATGTAAGTCTGAGTCCAGTATTACCCCTAGATTTCTGACCTTGTTTGAAGGTTTTAGGGAGAGAGACTGTAGGTGACAGATGACGCTCTCTCTTTGTTTCTGAGCACCAAAGACAATCATGTGTCACTGGTCCTTGTTCTCCTGCAGTCAGTGAGACATAGATCTGAGTGTCGTCTGCATAGTTCAATCAATCAATCAATCAAATTGTATTTATAAAGCGCTTTTCATACAAAAAGTGTAACACAAAGTGCTTTACAGTTTAGTTAAAAACAATCCAACATGCCCAGCCCTAAACCCTCCTCCCCACAGACCCCCCAAAACCACATTTATAATTATATATACAATACACACACCCACACACACACACACACACACACACACACACACACATATACACAAGTATAAAGTCATATCAGGTAAAATAGGTAGTTGTGATAGGACACTTTGTTTCTGCGTATTAACTGACCTAACGGCAGCATGTAGAGATTGAACAGAAGAGGTCCCAGGATCGACCCCTGTGGTACTCCACAGGTCAGGGCCATATGATCTGAGACACAGTTTCCAATCTCCACAAAGTACTTCCTGTCTTCAAGGTAAGACCTAAACCAACTTAGAGCGGTGCCAGCGACACCAACCCAGTCCTCTAGTCTCTGTAAGAGGATCTCATGGTCGACGGTGTCAAAGGCAGCACTCAGATCTAACAGGATTAGGATTGAGACTTTGCCTGCGTCAGTGTTTAGCCGGATATCGTTTGTTACCTTAACGAGAGCAGTCTCAGTGCTGTGGTGGGGTCTAAAGCCGGACTGAAACATATCAAATGAGTTGTTGATTATAAGAAATCTATTTAGCTGTTGGTAGACAACTTTTTCAAGGACTTTCCCCATAAATGGCAGATTTGAGATGGGACGATAGTTGTTAAGTACCGTAGCATCCAGACTGCTCTTTTTTAGCTGGGCCCTGATGACTGCAGTTTTCAGGGCCTTTGGAAATATTCCAGAATTAAGGGACAAGTTTACTATCTGTGTGAGTGAAGGTAACAGACTGCTCAGAACAGAATAGCGTTGCGGCTAATATGTGTATTATTATTGTGTTTGGCTGTTGTCAGTGCAGAGTTTAAGGAGGCATTCTTTTAATTAAGTTTTAGTAGGTATGGGAAACTTGTTCATTGTCGAAATAAACTGGTGAAGGAGTCATTTAATCAAGTTGTGATCAGTTAAAACTATCTGCTTCATTACGACATGAAAACTTGCGGCTTGCATTCGAGTGCAGCTGTGGATAGTATTCGCTTATATACAGGTGTGCCTAATAGTCTGAAAAGTACCGTACATATAAAGACAAATTCAAGTCGCAGGCCATAGATGGGTTTATTAAACACATCATTCATTTCACAATGTGTGCTTTAGGATATAATAACTATGAAGAAAACTTTACAAACCATTTGTGCTTAAACATTGGAACAGTGCATCTCACACACCCGATCGGCGTATTCTGCCGATACACCATGGTTCACATATTCATTCTGCCTGACTATATTATTTTCATTTAGATAGCGTTGTCTGGAACTTGACAAAGCGGGTTTCAAAGGCGCCATGGTTGTTTTATATCTTAAAATGTAATTCACTTTTGGAAATAATTGCCAAACCTCAACAATGATTTCAGTTGTAACAGATTGATATGAAGCCTTTTTATTGAGAAAAGATTCTCGGCGTCGTTGCCAAAGCTCAGTTGGAGCCAGCCAGATTTTGTGATTGTCCAAGAGCGGAGAAATTACAGTCAGAAAGCTGGAACTGTTAGTGCTAAGTTTCTGTTGAGTGCTCCTAGTTCAGATAAAGGCAGCTTTTACACAACGTTCACACCTCATCTCCTCTCTCTCTCCCTCTCCGTCTCCCTCTCCCTCTCTCTCTCTCTCTCTCTCTCTCTCTCTCTCTCTCTCTCTCTCTCTCTATCTCTCTGCTCCCCTTTTATCTGCTCCCCCCTCAGCACCTCTCCCCCTATCACACCGACACACCTGCCCACACGCGGGGGCTCTGCCAGCGCCTCAGTGGGAAACTCCAGCACTTACCACATGTGTGAAAGAGAACTGACTTCACCTTTCAAAATGTGACACTGATAGAGTTTGTCATGCACTGAGCATATGAATAAGCATTTGCAGAGGAAGTTGCATACTTCAAAAATGTATTTTATTTGTATGTTTGTTTATCATTCTCAAGGCTTTTTTTGACTGAGCCACTCATGAACTCAAAAGTTGCTGTCAAAGTCAAATGTTTTTTTATATTTTACAATACTTTGTAGACAATCAATAACTCAAAAAGTTGTTGCCAAAGTCAAATGTTTTTTATATTTTATATAGACAATTGAGATAGATATTCTTTTTTCGTCCCACATGGGAAAATGTCAGTGTTGTATCACCAGCTACAAAACAGGAATGAGGAGCAACACAACACAAGATAGATGAACCATAATGCTAGAAGAAAAAAAAAAAAAAAAGTATAAAATCTCTAGCTTTAGCATGACAAGGAAGCATATCTAAAATCTCCAACTTAAGAATAATTAATAAGCAATAATTAAGTTGAACATGTCTGACTATAAAATCTCTAACTTATAAAGAATAAGATACTGTACAGTATATTCTAGTGCGAGAAAGAAAATAGTTTCAGGTAAACATCTGCAAATGTTAGCAGCATGGCAGTGGGCACATTGGCGGCACGGTGGCTGAATGGATAGTACTCTAGCTTCTCAGCAAGAAGGGTTTACATGTTCTCCCCGTGTCTGCGTAGGTTTCCTCCGGGTGCTCTGGTTTCCCCTACCACTAAAAACATGTACAGTACAATAAATCTGGCATGCATCTTCTGTACTGGCAACTTCACTCCCATCTCTGTGTGGAAAGAGAGACAAAAATGCCTAAAAAACAACAATTGTAAAGCGCTCTGTGACTCTGGTCTTTGAAATGCGTTATATAAATAAAGATTACTTTTACACATGTGATTCTATATCGCACATTCTGACAATAGGACAAAGATTTAAAAAACACTACGCTTCGGCAGTAATTCAGACAAAGTGTGCGGAGTAGATCGATCCAAACAGGAAACAGAACCTAAAGAATATCAGCATTTGCAAAGTAAAAATGATTGGTTTGGTTATGAGCTCTGTCGCTTTGAAAATTCTGGCTCAGTGCACGCCTCCACATGCATTTAACATTACGGAACTTTTATTGGACTTGTTCACGGAGCAGTTTTACCGCATAATGAAGAGAAAACACCTGTAAACTGATGCGAGGTGAGCCGTCTGCACACTCACAGTAGTGGTTTTGGCCTTAAGTGAGGACTAATATTTTACAAACTTGCGGCGTTTCCCCTCGCAGCAGACACCAGAGTCGGCAACTAAATGGAGTCGCGGGATGTAGAACATGCGCATAAACCCCATTACTCTTGATTACTCTTGATTTTTTTCCTACAACATTTCCAGCACCAGTAACTCTATGAGCATAACAGCGATAATGAATGTACAGAATATTGGTCATTACGCTACTAGACACGCTATGCAATAGATTACTAATGATCATATATTTCCTCCCCAGTGGTACATGTACAACAAATTACCACAATTTTATCCATGTCCTGTTTCAGTTGCTATATTTTAGCTGTGTATTTTCACTGGGAACCTGTGCTTTACTTTCCAGTTACTCTAAAAACCGAAGCCTCACAGGCGTCAAAACCTATGTTAAATTTGGCCCATTTATTGGCCTGGCATAGAGCAGTAATGTGCAGGTTGGTGAAGCGTGTGGCAAATCGGATCAAGCCCAACCTTTTAAGATGAATGAAGTGACTGCTATTGCGAGCAGCTGTACCTCCCAGAGTAATAGCCCCTTTAACCTTGAGCCTGTGCACACGCTACCT